AAGTGGTTAGATCAAATCTGAATACTGATTTGGATAGCCCTTGAAGTTCTCTATCAAATGCAGTATGCGTCAAAATTCCAGAAAAAAGGTTTTGAAGAAAGTTTTCAACAGCTTGAACACCTAAATATGTCCCTCGTTAATCAGAGTTTCTGTATTGAAAATATTTTTAGCAAAATTCTCTAGGACTTAGAGCTCCGCTACAGGGTTTTTTTCTAGAAAACTTTCTTCAAAACCTTTTTTCTGGAATTTTGACGCATACTGCATTTGATAGAAAACTTCAAGGGCTATCCAAATCACTATTCAGATTTGACCTAACCACTCGGCTTCATCGAAAAAATCCAAAAATATAGTGGCTCTATAATTTTTTCAGTACTGTTTTTAGAATTTTGCAGAAGATTTTTGACATAATGCTAGCTCCTCCTGACCAAAAACAATCGCGGGTTGCCGGTACAATCGTTAACTAATAACAACAATATTACAAGCATCACAACACTTCGAACGGAAACCCCCACTTCTAAGAGAAAAGTGTGTCAAAGTTTAATTAGTTCGTCTCAAAGTCGGAGCCGAGGAATATACAAGTATGTCTTCCAAGGAAAAAAGTGCCAGAAGCATTTTATAGAACGATCCAACCTAATGAATTTTCTTTTTACTAAACATGTGTGCACATATTTTATTAGCTCTTTCACACGAAACGAAATCAAAGATTCTTTTTGCTTATTCTATTCTTGCTACTTTCTTGGAATAGAGAAGTTAATTTCGATCCATTTAACCGAAAGTGATAAAACGACATCCCTCAGACGATAAAAAAATTCTCTTCAAGCCACTGTTGGAAAAAAAATTGTACTGTTCCCATTTTGTCCACTTTATAAAAAAAGTTTCACGCATGTGAATATGGTCCAGTAGTCATGTCCCATCAAAACAAAAAGAACGAGCTCAAAAAATCCCATTTTTCGTTAATTATGTGTGTTTACATTGGCATTGAACGGAGATAGGCTTTGATTTGTTTCAATTGCATGTACGAATGTAGCAAAATAAACCGAATGTAATTCTCTCCATTTTCCAGTTGCATGGGTTTCCCAAAAGTCAAGTTGAGCGCCAAATAATTGATGTTCACTACGTCGTCCGAACTCTGGTTTTCCTCCGTATGTTTGGACTAATGTTGTCTTGTTCAACAGTAGATTGGGGCCTGTTGTTTTTGGATTATTTTGAACCTGAAAGGAAACGAGGAAAGTTTGTGGTCCTATTGTCGTTAGCTCAAAATAAGTAAAGCCAAAATATTTTGTCTGTCTGATTTTCAGCTGAAAAATTTAGGAAAAACGACAGCGAAAAAAAGAGAAACTCGTTTTGACTTTTCATACTCTTCGATATTGTATTACTCAAATTAAATCACTTCGTGTGTTCCACAATCTGTTCTACGTCGACAGAAGGCGTGTTGTTATCCTACAAACGGTGATGATTCATTCAGGGAAGTACAGTAGCATAATATTCTACATTAGTCAGTCATTTGCATTACTTGTGTAAACTTTGTGTAAATCCAAAACTACAGTGGCTGTATAATTTTTTCCAGTACTTTAACTAATCGCGCATGAAATATTTAGAGAAGAAAAATATAGTTTGGCGCAGTCAGAGAAGATACACTCCTCTCTAAATATCTAAGCGGAAAATTAACACAAAAAATTCGCCATGAACAACTTTTCACCAATGTCACATTTCCAGGGGCTTAAAGTCAAAAGATTTGTCCGAAAGTCAGAAATTCCGGGACATGTCTATGAATTCGTCGCGCGATTCTTGTATGAACTCAACAGAAAGCGATTTCCTTCAACGTTCTTGTGATAAAATACATGCAAAATATTTTACAAGATACTTGTCTGAAGTGCAAAGAAACAAGAATCTTGCAAGCACACCCACAAGAACGTCGACCAATGTTATACTACTTTCTTTTCTTTTCTATCGTCGACGCCATCTTTTTTTCTCTTTCTTGTTCTGTGTCACAGGAGTCACTTTAGTCACTCACTCACAACTATTTCGTATAATCCTAATAAATGAGATGAATATGGGAGAGATATGATTCAAAAATGAGCCATATATGACATATAATTGAGTCATTTATGGCTCATTTTTTATCGCATTTTTCATGGCCTGGGCACTATCTGAATAAGCGATTTTCCTCCAACGTGTTCGATGGAGTAAGCCACTTTCCTCCGGAAAATCGCTTATTCAGATAGTGCTTTTCTAAAAAAATGTTTTCTCTATCTACCTGTCGAAAAAAACTATTTTTACCTTTAAGAATAGTTAAACTGAAAGGAAAGTAAGGCAATTTCTTTTAAGAGTCAGTGACTTTCTTCCAACCGCCTATACTTTCAGCTCAAGAAGTTTTCTTCTTGATTCTTGAAGTTTTTGCAAAAACGAGTATTTCTGTATATTATTTGTCTTTAAACTGCCATTTTTGTTTTCCATGAACTACAGAGAACGCATTTATATTTTCACTTCTCTTGAAAAGGATGAATCATTGCAACCATGAGAAAAAACAGCAGAAAAGAAAAAAAATTTTCTTCTTTTCGTCTGCACAGGTCGATGTCTGCATGCGACACCGAGAAAAAGAGGAATTTACACTTCACGATAGAACTCTAATGTGAGTTTGAAGAGAATTGAATGCTGTGGTGAAAATTGTGCTTTAACAGAAGAACGAAGCTTGATCAGTATCTGAAAATCATTAGAAGAAAAGTTGCTTAGAAGATACCTATTCATGGACAGCACACTCATTTCATTCCATTGTTCAACATTACAGCGAAAACCTTATACTCAGTATGCTTATTTAACAAGAAGAATTTCTACAACATTCAATTTTTTCGATATTTTGGATGATTTCAAGTTTCTAGCGTAGCAAGCCATATGCGCCATCCCAGTGAAGAACATTGCACATTCCATCCGCGCTCTGTCCAATATGGACTCTGAAAGGTCGCAGCATAGTCAGGAGCTACTGGTAATAGCCTTGCACGTGATTCGAAGCGAAAATTAAATTTATTTAATTGTTTCAACTCGGTCAAAAATCCTTGTTCTAATTCTTCACCATCGATCAAGTGATATATACAATCAATGTTGATAAGCGAAAGACGTTTTAATACTTTCAACTGTTTCAATAATGCTTTTAATTCTTCGTAATTAACCGTTGCTTCATGGAGTTTGAATTCTTGAAGACACGTCTAAGAAAAGAAATGTTATAAAGAACGATCTCCCATACCTCGTCGAAAACGTTATGTATTCTTTTGGCTAAAGTGCTGATTGCAAATATCTCCAGACCTTTGCTAGAAAGCTTTCCAAGAGGAAAAAGCGACTTTTATTGTTCTTAGCATCAGCATCCGATGCTGAGCATCAAAAAGCATTTCAACGGCTCCGGAACGCACTCCGAGACGCAGTTTTCCCTTGAAGCTTTCACTACCTTACTGTCAGCTCATAAAAAATGTTATTAGACGGATAGTGCAGTAGTTTCTCCATATAACCCACATGTTCTATAAGCAACGGTCATATATACTGTTAATCAGTCAGAAGTGTTCATGCAGTTTCTTTTTCTCTAAAATTTTTCGCAAAACCCCTAAGGATAAAAAGTTCTCTCGGAAAAAAAAACTGGAGAAAAGTAAAACTTGCTTTTACCCTAAACTACAAAAGACTGAGTCGAGATTATTTTACTTTGCGTTTTAACACCGGTTTTCAACATAATTTTCATCTAACTCAAACGAGTGTATATGAGTGATCGAATGTGTCCTTTTGAATGATACAGGTTTGTTTCTTATCGCTGCAGATAGCATGACCTAGGCTATTCGTCCCTAGAAACGCTTCAACCATGGAGCTCTTCAGACACGTTCACGCTGCACAAGACTCTGAAAACCGATTCCTATACAGAATCTATAAGAAATGATTCGAATTCAAAATTCATTTACTAGAATCCTTTTTCTTTTTCCTTGGACGACTACACTAAAACTACTCGAGAGTGTTAAAGGAACACATTAAGCCACTTGCTTCTGATAAGCGAGAGCAATCTGAATTAAAAAACCAAGAGCTTGTGACTCACAATATAAATTATAACTAACCTCATATATCAGTTTTATTGGTGGCAGTTCTCGCTGTTGGGTTTCATAATTTATTATTTTTCGATTCCCCAAAAGTCCATTTGCTACGAGCTTATCAACACATAAAAATTCGATTAATGGCAGTTTGTTTAAGAGTATATAAATATCGAGCATATCAGGTAGAGTGATTGTCAAGTATTTTAGATGTTCGCAAGGTGTCATGATTCGTGCATCGATCCACGTTAATGTATTTTTAATAATCAATGTTTCTAACATACACTCTTCTCGAAAGAAATGTTCACAGATTTTCAAATCATTGCTTTGATAGACCTTTGCACGTGTTTGTAGCTTTAACGTTAACGAGTTTAACCTTGAGAATATTTCCATGTACGGTACGATATTGACGTCGGAATAAGACGGATCATCTTCTATTACACAGATGCATTTCATATTTGGATACATTAAACCCGACGCCAGAATTGTATTTAAGTAGGACGAGTTTAGTTTAAGCGACCTAATATCGAAACGATAATCTAGAAGAAGTGCGAAGTAAATAGATGATGGTGCTGAGAGAAGAACATTCGTCAGATCGATCTGTTCAATGAATAAACGAACTAGTTGATTATACCGATAACTCAAAGTCGAAAATGCATACAAAATTTCGTGCGGGAGCATATATGAACAAACAACGATAAACAACTCATTTGGTAATACTTCAAATTTGTTGGTGACGGACAACATCTGCACACAAACAAACAAAATATTGCGATGAATGGTAGTTTGAAGATGAACGTGAAACGTAGAACCTTTGTCTGCTTAGACTAGTATAGGTCTGAATCAACAGACAACATTGAGCGATTTTTTTTTTCTATATTCATAGTCTGAACAGAACGAACAAACTGTTTTTGCTAGAGAAAATTATGCTGCGATGAGAGTAAAGATTTTTTCTCCTCATGAAAAGGCTTTTCTGTTACATCTATGTATTTTTCTCGTCTTCTACTTTTTCTAACGTTACTCTTCTTCTGGCACTTTTTCCGTTCCCTTCTATGTTCCACGTTCATCACAAGTCATCGTCAAACTGCTAGTCATTACATTCTTTTCTCATTTTGTGAACATTTCTTTCGAGAAAACTGTATGTTAGAAACACTGATTGATAAAAATACATTAACATGGATCGATGCACGAATCATGACACCTTGCGAACATCTAAAATACTTGACAATCACTCTACCTGATATACTCGATATTTATATACTCTTAAACAAATTGCCATTAGTGGAATAGGTCTGAATCAACAGGCAACGTTGAACGATTTTTTTCCTGTATTCAGAGTCTGAACAGAACGAAACAAACTGTTTTTTGCTACCCAGGTCAAACAATCCTACTAGGTTTCTACAAGATCCTATAGGATCTTACTGATAATAGGATTTCATAGGATTCCTACTGTAGGATCCTATAAAATTTTACAGCAGGAATTCCATAGAATTCCTGGTATAGGACGATAGCAAAAATCCTACAGAATTCCTATAAATAGGAATCTTATGCATTTCTTACAAAATCCTACAGTAAGATTTTGTAGGAGTCCTATTTTTTCATTCTGTATAGATTTTCTTTTCTTTTTCTATACAAAAACACAATCACCCACGTGTTTTACAGTAACTATTATATAAATACAACTCTATATTGTAGAAAATGAAAAATTCTTTAGGCTCAAATTTTCGAAATTCTGTAAGCCATCGAAACTCGCTATACACTGTAATGTCGGGAATTATTTATAGAAAATGCTCGGCGATTTTCAAAAAGTCCATATATAAATTCCCTGAGGATTTTCTAGATTCTAGAAAATCGAATTTACAAGAAACTTGGAAATTCGA